CAATGTGAATAACAATGTGAACAGATCTGGATTAAACTCAGCACACCTTGAATGGGTTCCAAATATATTTGCATCATCGACTCATTGGTGGGGCTAGGTTCTGCCTGGCTGGCTTTACAAGGAAATGCTCCTCTTCCTCTTTCCCTGCACAACCATTTCCAATGAGTGGCTTCTGGGGGCTCCCCAGAAAGAAAGTGGCGTGTTTCTCCCCCTCCAGACCATGGAGGACAAGCCCCATGACTGCCAATGGGGGATCCCCCCTTCCTCAGCCGCTGGATCCCACTAAAATCCCAAAGAGATGCAGATCAATGCCATTTCAAAGTGTGAATAACAAAACCGGAATGTGTGAGTGAAGATCTTTTCATCATTCCAGTAAAAAAAACAATGTGTGATTGACCCCCAAGACAGATGAAAGTGTCTGTTCCCATTCCAGATACACCCACAAACTCACCTAGTCCTCAATCCACAGTAGCTTCTGTTACAAAATCCTTTATATGATCATTTGCCTTTTATATTTTGACAAGACCCTGCAGCTAACACACATGGTCAAAATTCAATAAGATATAGAAAACCTTTGCTTAATAAAGGCTCACTTTGTCTAAGTGAAGGAAAGGCAGAAATCTCTTGATCAATGCATTATCTTATACAGAAACGTTATTCTATTGTTTAAATATTGGAAACCTAAGCATTTAATTTTCTACTTCATGGAAAGGCAGATCTTACCTCCATTCAAAGCATCTATGTTACATTTGGATTGGCCTTGGTGAATGTTATTGTGCTATATTCAATAGGGTAACTGAAGATATGGTCATTTAGAAACAATAAAGTGTCTATCCCTATTCCAGAAACACCCACAATCTTACATATTTTGGTTCGCTCAGTACTCAATACACAGAAGCTTCTGCTACAAAGTTCTTGATATGACCATCAATAAAGCATACAGAACCTTTGTTTTTCAAGAAGCTTAGCACTGAATTCGATAACTGAAGGCAGATCTCATCTCTGTCCAGACCTTTTCTGCTACATTCAAAAGCAAAGATCCAGTATAGACACAAGAATGTATGACTTTAAATGTATGAATCCATTAACTTAGGCTCATTCGGTCATGAGAAGCTTCTCTTAAAATTTCCCCAATATTAATATGGTTCCTCTTTATATTTCATAAAAAGATAATCTTGGAATCATATTCCATGTACACATTAACATTGGATCAAAATTTCTCCAATATGGGATACAGAAACTTTGTTCTGTTGCTGAATATTGTCTATATAAGCATTGCATTGTCTAATTGTGGGAAGGGCATGTCATGTCTATGGACGTTATCACACGGGGAGTTGCGGGGAGAAAGTGGA